TCAGTACGATGAACTGGGCTCCCAGGGGCTGCTGGAGACCCCGAGAGCGAAGGTGACTAGGGCGACATCTCCCCAATGAGACGGTGCTCCATAGGGAGTTTGTTGAGAAGCTACTGTGTGTCAGGCACTGTGTGGCATTGTGCTCTGTTACTTTATGAGCTACTCAGAACTCAAGGGGGTAGGTACTATTAGGGGTGACAGGGAGAGAGTGAAGAAACACACAAAAAGACTAAGGGTTCGTGGTCACTGGAAGTGAATGATGAAATCATGATTACTGTTGGCTGACTTCTTCCCCTGGACCACACTGTCTTCCCACTGTCCTGGTGGGAAATAAATGAAGATATCATTTGCTCAAATCACAGATGATGTGCAAGATTGATGTGCAAGACCTAGCCAACGATGACCGTTCGAACTATTACTGTTTTCTAGCCAACAACAGGTATAGCGGTGAACTGGCATCTTGCCCTCGCCCCTGGTGCAGGTAAAGTGCCCTCGGAGAAGAAAGTCATAAAGAAGGAAAGCTGAAACTCTTCCCACCCAATCCTCCCTAAGGTGGTGGGCCAGCCCCGACTCAGGAAGATGTCCACGTGTGACAGATGCTGGTGCCAGGTGCCCTCCCCAGGTTAAGAAGTGCCAGGCTGACGCAGCACAGGCGGTCTATACCCTGACGCTAGCACTGCTCGGCGCGCGGGCAGGATCGCGCCAGGCCCAGCGTCCCCATTAGGTTCTACTCGGGGCTTCTCTTTCCCAGGCCCCAGCTGTTCCTGCGAAGTGAGGCAGAAACCCAGAGTCAGAGGAAACGGGCATACTGGGGAGACAGAGAAGTCTGGCTGGAGCCGGGGGCCCCTTAGGAGACTCCGGGGGCGGAGGCTCTGCTGTCGACTGAATAGTCACCATTGTCTCCTGCCACCACCTGGGCTCTCCCCGCTGCCAGGACCCCGCGCCATCTCCTGCTCGACGCTGCCTGCCCCAGACAAGGCCAAGCATCCCGAGGCAATGTCCCTCTGGCTCCCGTGCTAGTCAATCTCCCTTCACTGCGCCCTGTGTGCGGGCTATGCACCACCCCAGTGCCTCTGTCCTCAGCTGCCCCTCGGGCTAGGAACGGACTAGAACAGGTCCTAAAGACTCCTGGCTCCTAAACCCAGGCTCTGCACCCGGGAATGCAGTGCCAGAGAAGTGACAGGACTTACGATCTGAGCCAGGGCAAGCCACAGCACCTGGAGGAGAACGACCAGGCTGCGGGGCGCGGGCACAGCGGTCATGGCGAGCAGCGGGTTCTGGAGCTGGGGTCCACGCACCGACGGCGGGGGCTGCTTTCGGAGCCTCGGACTGGATCTCCCGAATACGCGGCGGGGCGGGCCGGGGCGGGGACCTGAAGGCCTGTCACCTGAGAGCAGTGTGGGGAGGAAGTGTCCAGCTCCGCCCGGCCAGGGGCGGATCTTCTGTGCCCACCCTGGGTCTGCATTCTGAGCTTGACTAGACTCCCCAGCTAGGAAGTCCTAGAGGCATCTCCGGGTGCGGGACCATTTTCTCTGTGAAGGGCAGAGGCCATCCGAAGTCCCTTTCCTCCTTGCCCTCCAGGATCAAAACCTTCCTCCTGGTCCTCAGCCCCATCCTTTCCCCTGACCTGAGCCAGGCTTGTCTAGATCCTTTCTCCTTCCGTGCCTAGGCGCAACCGTCTGGGGTTCTGGAGATCTGGCCAGGACCCCACCCAACTTGGTCTTTTCTAACTGGCTCAGTCCTCTCCACAGACAATCAGGTCCCTGCCATATGAAAACACACCAACATCTTTCTTGAATCAGCCACCTCCTCCGGAATTCTCCATCTTCCTCTTCTCTCCCCCTCCACCATCAGTTCCAGTAGAGTTGTCTGTGGCCTCTAAACTTTCCTCTCCCCTCCCTGCCTCCCATCGACCTAGGATAACGATCTTCAACAGTGAGCTCCAAACATCTTCCATCCTTGAGGCAGGAGGCTGTTAGCATTTGGACCTGCCGTCCTTCACATCTCTCCCAAGCATCCACCAGGCACCCCACTTGACCTTGTACAATTGTATCCTTTAAAATCAGCTTTTATTTATATGTATGAGTGTTTTGCCCTCATGTATGACCCTGTCCCATGGTGGGACCAGACACCCTGGAACTGAAGCTGCAAAAAGATGTAAGCTCACACGTGGGTGCTGGCAACAGAGCCTGGGTCTTTGCAAGAAGAGCAAGTGCTCCTAAGCCCTGGCTGTCTCACCGGATCCCTACAGTTACATATTAAGAAGGAGTACACGTTCTGTGAAAAGTGTCCCTTAGGCTATCAAACATCACAATGCATGTCACACAAACTAAAAGTACTATCGATTCGTGAACTGTCTAACCTGTGGAACCACCTGCATGTGTGAGGTGCATTATCAGCCAAGTAACACACAACTCTGCAGTCTTTCTCCTCTGCAGCTCCTCCCATGTTGCCGTCTCCTGGACTGAGACTTCTCCCTCACCCTCTTTCCAACTGATCCTCTCATGTTCATGAAAAAAAAAAACCCACCACTTTATTCAATAACTTCCCAAACCCACCTGTCTAGCCACCTCTGTCCAGAGCCCCTTTCTCCTCTCCTTCCCTTCCGTTCACTGGCTAAGGGCCATGGATCTCATGATGTACCTCTAACCACATCCATGAAGTCTTAGCGTCACATCTATGAAGTCTTAGCTTCTTCCTCTGTAACTGGAACCACAGGGTTCCCATCTTAAAGAATTTGCTTGAAGACTGAAGGAGCTGATGAGCAGCAGCTACCTGATGTTGCCCCAGTGCACTTTGACCCTCAGTACCGTTTGCTCTTTGTCTCCAACTGGCCTCCAGGATGGGAACCTGACCACAAGCAAATCAAGTGGCCTGGCCAAAGAGAGCCTGGAAAGATGGCTCCACCGTTAAAAGCACTTGTTGCTTTTGTAGAAGTCTGGGATTTGGACTCCAGCACTCACATCAGATGGATCCCAACTACCTGTACCTCCTGTTCCATAGAACCCAATGCTCTCTTTTGGCTTCCATAGGCACCAGCGCACACAGAGTGGACATATAAAACACATGTACATACACAAAATGAATAAACACATGTAAAACTCACCCTCAACATTTTTTTAAAGTATATCATGAAGCTGGAGCGATGGCTCAGTGGTTAAAAGCACCCCACCAGCTGCTCTCGTAGAGGACCAAGCACCCATTTATCTGCCTATAAGCACTTCTAACTCCAGTTCCAGGGTTTGATGCCCTCTTCTGACCTCTAAGGGCATCAGGCACCCAAGTGGTGCATAGACATACATGCAGGCATAGTACATGCACATAAAATAAAAAAATAAGTTTAAATTATGTCACACAAAATAAATAAATTATATATTTTTTTTTCAGTGATTCAAGGCCAGTCTTGACTATACAATAATGTTAAGGTCAGTCTAGGAAACATGAGATCCTGACTTTCCTCCCAACCCCCACCCCCACCCCCCAAAAAAAAGCTGAGGCATGGTTGCTCACATTTTGAATCTTAGCACTCTCCAGGCAGAAGCAGGGGAATCTCTGTGAGTTAAAGGCTAGCCTGGGCTGTATATAGTGAATTTCAGGCCAGCCAGGGCTACATAGGAGACCCTTTTTCAAAATGGAGGAAAAAGAAAAAGAGGAGGAGAAAGATAGTTAATATCATCTCCAGGATATAAAAACCCCAGAACTTGAATTCCTTCTTATGCTCTGCCCATCATAGGAATTTCCCTTCAAACATAAGCCTGGCAGTGGGAGCCCACGGGGTCAGGAGCTGATCCAGAGAGGACTGATACATCAGATTTGATACAGCAAATCCATAGGCTATGAAAATGTCTTCCATGAGGTCCAGATAGGAAAGAGAAGGAAGACGGGTTTCCCTTCTGCATTTTGTCAGATTTGATGCAGGGTTTCTTTGTATTACTTCAAGTTTAAGTTGTAGTTACAGGGTTGTTTCCTATTTGAACAGAGATGGAATTTGATTTACAATTTGTCTTAGTTAGGGTTTCCATGGCTGTGGTGAAATACCATGATCAAAACACATCTTGGGGAGAAAAGGGTTTATTCAACTTACACTTCTACATCATAATCCGTTATTGAAGGAAGTCAGGACAGGAACTCAGGCAGGGCAGGAACCTGGAGGCAGAAGCTGATGCAGAGGCCATGGAGCATGCTGCTTACTGACTTGCTCCTCATGGCTTTCCCAGCCTGCTTTCTTATAGAAGCCAGGACCACCAGACCAGGAATGTTCCTGCTCACAGTGGGCTGGACCCTCCCCTATCCATCACTAATTAAGAAAATGACTGTCTCAAAAAACCAAAAAAAAAAAAAAGAAAAAAAAGAAAAAAAAAGAAAAAGAAAATGCCTTATAGCCAGATCTCAGAGAGGCATTTCCTCAGCTGAGGCCCCTCCTTTCAGTTAACTTTAGCTTGTCTCAAGTTGACATACAACTATTTAGCACACAACTCTTATTAAACTCCCAAGCCACAGTTATCCATAAATGATGAGATGATGATGGTGATGATGAGGAAGGTGGTGGTGATGATGCTGAGAGTGGTGGTGATGATGATAATGATTTGGGTGATGGTGGTGCTGGATCTAACCCAGAGACCCACATATTCTACATAAGTATTCTGCCTCTGAGCACATTCTCAGTCCCTGCCCACAAAATAAAATTTTTAGTGGCGGGGTGGGCAGATTCGAATGAGCATGGATGCATGGTTTACATGGCATGCCTATGGAGGTCAGAGGACACTTTTAAAAATTGGTTCTTTCCTTCTATCATATGGATCCTGGAGTCATTGAACTGGTGACCTTATCTGCTGAGCCATCTTTCTGGTCCAGATTTTTTTTTTTTTTTTTTGAGACAGGGTTCTCCATGTTGCCTAGACTGGCATCAAATTTTCAAACCTCCTGCCTCAGCCTCTCAAGTTACTTATGAATTTTATTTATTATTTAAAGAGGGTTTTTAAAACATTAATTGGTACATAAAAAATGCGTAATACTTCACAAGTTTGCATGGCACCCTTCCACAGGCACCATGCCAATCTCTGTACTGCTCCAGTTTTGGCAGATGTACTATTGAAATGAGCATCGTTTGATGATCTTGCTTTTTATGTGTGATGGTTTGAATAAGAATGGCCCCCGAGGGCTTATAACTTTGAATGCGCTGGTCACGGGTGGGAGCGCAACAAGAGTGGGCGGCAGCAGTCCCGGGGCATGCTGTTCAGTCGAGCTGAACAGAGCCGACCGCACAGAGAAAGGCTTCTCATCGCCCTGTCCTGTGAGCTGGCGCGCAGCAGCGGGGACGAAGGACATGAGCCGGCGTGGGCAGCCGCACTGCTAGCTAGAGTCCCTCCCCGGCCCCGCATGGACAGGGCGCTCGGGAATCTTGACTTACACAAATCCGGAATTCACGAGACATGTAGAGATTTAAGATGCGTTGATTTATTAACAGACTACAGGTTTGGGTGGTGTGGAGCTTTCCGAAACATGTCGGAAGGTGTTTGTTTATATATTGGAAGCGGGCAGGGCTTCAGGTAATATGTAAATTTTGAGGCAGAGACCTGTTAGTCTCCTGACCTAGCGAGGGCTTTATGCTAGGTCTCTGGGTTTGGGGGGCGTAGCCGAACACTCAGGATTTTACAGTCCCACAATCAGAGAGTGGCACTACTTGAGAAGGACCAGGAGGTGTGGCCTTGTTGGAAAAGTGTGTCACTAGAGATAAGCTTTGAGGTTTTCAGGGACCAACCAGGCCTACTGGCGTTCTTTCATGCTGATGCCTACAGATCCAGACATAGAACTCTCAGTTACTTTTCCAGTACTATGTCTGCCTACATACTGTTGCCATGCTGTGACAATTGACTAAATTTCTAAAACCGATGACTAACTGATAATCTGTTGCTGGAAACCCAGGTCTTTTGTTGTTGTTGTTTATATGTTTGTTTGTCTGGTTTTTGTTTTCCAATACAAGGTTTCTCTGGCTCTCCAGGAACTCACTCTGTAGACCAGGCTGGCCTCAAATTCACAGATCTGCCTCCCAAGTGCTGGGATTAAAGGTATGGACTAATCTCCTTGCTTTTCTTTTGGTTTTTCGAGACAGGGTTTCTCTGTGTAGCCCTGGCTGTCCTGGAACTCACTCTGTAGACCAGGCTGGCCTCAAACTCAGAAATCCACCTGCCTCTGCCTCCCAAGTGCCTGGCTGATCTGAAATTTCTGATCCTCTGTCTTCCCATCCTTAATGTTGGGACTGTAGGTGTGCACTACCCTGCCCAGTATATGCAGTGCTGGAGATTGAACCCAGGGCTTTGTGCATGCTAAGCTAGCACCTACCTTCTGAGCCATAGCCCCAGCTTTGAGCTCTGGAATTCTAGACTATTTGTTCTTGTTCTGATGTCTCACACTGGGGAGTGAAGTCTCTGTTCTCCTTTGTCAGCATTCTAGTCATGTCACCTGAGAGCCTAGTGACTTTCAAAGAACTTAAAAGGTAAAGGATAAAATCTTTCTCATCTCTCAACCTATTTATACTATCTCTGGTACTTGTCTTACTGTACATCCAGAAGTGTGGTATCATGCAGCCCCAAGCTTGAGCTCTTGTCCTGTCATATCCAGCACTTAATTCCCCTAGTGACAAGAGCAACTTTAATTTATCAGAAATGTCCTAATTTTTTTTGGTTTTTCTTTTTTTTTTTTTTGGTTTTTCGAGACAGGGTTTCTCTATGTAGCCCGGGTTGTCCTGGAACTCACTCTGTAGACCAGGCTAGCCTCGAACTCAGAAATCCGCCTGCCTCTGCCTCCCAAGTGCTGGGATTAAAGGCGTGCGCCACCACTGCCTGGCTTTTTTTGGTTTTTCAAGACAGGGTTTCTCTGTGTAGCCCTGGCTGTCCTGGGACTCACTCTGTAGATCAGGCCAACCTTGAACTCAGAAATATGCCTGCCTCTGCCTCTGGAGTGCTGGGATTAAAGGCCTGCACCACCACTGCCTGGCATGTCCTAATTTTTGAACTACAGTTCCACTAGAAATTGAACGCTAAGTTAGCAAGATGTATGTATTTGCTTAGCTGGTGCTCTAGTTCCTTTCTGTGTTGCTAAGATAAAACACTGACCAAAGGCAACTTGTGGGGAAAAGGGTTTATTTCAGCTTCTAGATTGCAGTTTATCATCAAGGGAAGCCGGGCAGGAGCTGCAGGCAGGAACTGAAGCAGAGACCATAGAGGAACCCGGCTTACCAGGCTTGCTTATACACATAAATATACATAATACATATACATACATATATATTATAAATACACACACATATATATTCAATGTGTGTGTGTGTGTGTGTGTGTGTATTTACTAATCAAGGCAATGCCCCACAGGCTTGCCTACAGGTATTTTCTCAACTGAGATTCCTTCAGCCTGTGTCAAATCGAGAATGGGACTAATCAGTACAGTTACTTAGTGAGGCCAGAAGAGGGCACTGGATCCCCTGGGGCTGGAGTTACAGGTGTTTTGCTTTGAGACAGGATCTCAAGTAGCCCAAGATGGCCTCAAACCCACTATTTGCCTTGTATAGTGGTTTGAATGAGAATAGCCTTCTTAGGCTCATCTGTTTGAATACTTGGTCCCCAGTGGTACAACTGTTTGAGAAGGATTTGGCCTTGTTGGAGGAGGAGATGCATCACTTGGGGGCAGGCTCTGAGGGTTCAAGACTCACCCCATTCCCAGTGTGCTCTCTCTGTCTCCTGCTTGCTATTAGAGATGTGCTCTCAACTGTTCCTGTAGCTATGCCTCCAGTCTGCCATCATGGACTCTAACCCTCTGAAAATGTAAGCCCAATGAAACGCTTTCTTCTATACATTGCCCTGGCCATGTGTTTTGTTCCAGCCATAGAAAAGTAACTAAGACACAGATTGTGGTCTTGAATCCCTGATTCGTCTGCCTGTGTCTCCCAAGGGCTGGTATTACAGGAATGCACCACAACTCCCTGATGTCTGGTTGGTTTTAATGTCAGCTTGCCACAAATTAGAATCACCTGAATCACCTCACCTAAAGAATTGTCCTGATTGCCAAGATTGATGTGGGAAGGCCATTTGAGGGTGGCATCTTCTGGTAGCTGTCCAGATTCTAAAAAGGGTGTATCAGAAAACTTTTCCTCTACTCTCTTCTTGCTTGGCTTCCCTCTTGTTGCTGAGTAGATTTGCCCCCTTGCTGCTGCTTCTGCTGATTCCTTTGCTAACAGTAGAACCAACTCTTCCAGGCTTCTATGGTAGAATAGCCTATCTGCAGGAACCTTCAAGTTACTGGTGCCAGGTTGTAACTACTAAGGCGCCCTGCCTCGTGGTCTGAGCAGCTACTGATTGTCACCCACCAATGAAAGACAGCTGTTCTAGAACTTCTCTGACTGCTGAGGCTCCCAGAATCAAGGACCGAATAACTTCTGGGTTCTCAGGTGCAATTTGGCTGTTGTTTCTGTTTTAAAGCTCACTTTGTAAATTCCGAATATTTATATGTGAATATATATGATATCGATATATTTATATACATATCGATATACATATATGTGTGTGGTGGTGGTTTGAATAGGAATGGCCCCTGTAAACTCATGAGTCTAATTGCTTGGCTCATGGGGAGAGGCACTATCAGGAAGTATGGACTTGAAGGAAGTGCGTCACTTTGGGGGTGGGCTTTGAGGTCTCCTATGCTCAAGCTCTGCCCAGTGTGGAATAGAGTCCCCTTCTGATGCCTGTTGATTAAGATGTGGGACTCTCAGCTCCTTCTCCAACACCATGTCTGCCTGGATGCTGCCATGCTTCCCACCATGATGATAATGGATGATCCTCTGAAACTGTAAGCCAGCCCCAGTGAAATGGTTTCTTTTATAAGAGTTGCTATGGGGCTGGGCAGTGGGGGCGCACGCCTTTAATCCCAGCACTTGGGAGGCAGAGGCAGGTAGATTTCTGAGTTCGAGGCCAGCCTGGTCTATAGAGTGAGTTCCAGGACAGCCTGGACTATAAAGAGAAACCCTGTCTCGAAAAAAACAAAAACAAAAAGAGTTGCCATGGTGTCTCTTCACAACAATAAAACTATAACTAAAGCAGTGTGTGTGTGTGTGTGTGTGTGTGTGTGTGTGTGTTCATCCCCTTGGTTCTGTTCCTCTAGAGAACCCAAACCCTTACTAAAACATTTTTTTTTGGAAATTTATTTTAAGTATGTTTTAAATGTAGGAGTGCTCTGTCTGCATTACACCTGCATGCCAGAAGAGGGCATCAGATCCCTTTATAGATGTTCATAAGTCACCGTGTGGTTGCTGCGAATTGGACTCAGGACTTCTGGAAGAGCAGCCAGTGCTCCTAACCTCTGAGCCATCATCTTTCCAGAGCACAGAAACTTTTTTTCTTTGTCTTTCCATTTTATTTATTGGGAGTGGGGGAAGGAGCTGCACTCCTCAGCAAGCATACGGAAGTCAACTCCTTATGGGAGTTGATTTGATGCTCTCCTTCCCTCATGTGTGTTCCTGAGTCTGAACGCAGGTTGGCAGGCTGGTGGCAGATGCCTTTACCTGCTGAGCCATGTCATTGACCCCAGATCTCTTATTTTAAATGATGAGTCACTTTCCAGTTGATGGCTACTTTGGGTCACCTTCCTGAGCCTTAATTCATTTTATTTGCTTAATTAATTAATCAATTAATAACCATCTGGAGTTACGGACGGTTATTAGCCACAGATCTGAACCCTGGTCTTCTGCAAGAATAAGAAGTGTCCTTAACCACATCTCTCTAGCCCGACTTCATTAGCACTGTTGCTATCTGTACATTTTGACCAGAATTTATAATTGTTATCTGTGGGAGGTTGGCATTATGCAGCTCACCCAACCATGACCTGAATGTAAACCTGCCAGTTCAGCAATACACTAGCCTTTACTAGACATCTCCTTATACTAAGTGCATATTACATCGGGAAAGCAAATGTGCTCCATTGAGGTCATGCTGTGGCTGCAGATCCAGCAAGACAGAAATTGGTAACATAAAGGAAACTGTGAAGACCTAGATATCAACACCCTAGAGACACCTTTGCTGGAGATTGTCTTTGTAACCTCCCTCTCAGTAGCCC